ATGAAATCTTAAAAAAAAAGTACATGACCCTAACACAGTTAATCATCAGTGAATATGTTAGCTTGTAAAAATGTGACATATAGGAAACCTTTCAGGAATACTACTAGTATTACCTGTATTACTTTTTACTAACCAATTATGATTAAAGTTGTGCAAATAATACTGCATTGCATTTGGCTTACATGTGCTATTTAACATTGTTCCTGAAGAACAACAATGAAGCATATTATAATCTCCTTGTATAGTTATGACTTGTTAGGCAAGATTACTTTGTGATTCTTTCATGTATTTGTGACCACCCATTAGCTTCCTCTGGACATTTTTTTTTCAGTGTGGTTTGTGTTGTAGAGCACTGCTACCTCATGACCCAAGTGTTAGTACAGATGTGACTATGAGGTAGGTACAGAGACCATGAGTAGCTGACAGATTTTATTCAATGCAAATATTTTATTTGAAATCTGTTTCATATTAAGCATCTATGAAATATGAATAATAGCAGGAACTAATTATACTTTTCCACATTATTGTACTTGCGTTTCTTTCCCCCTAGAAATACTCAATTACCGTCTATGCTTATATACAAATATTTGGTGTTTAACATCTTTTATTATACTGATGTCTAAATTACTACAAAATATAAACAGGTTCTTAATTAGATTGTTATTTTAGGCCCCCTTATTTTACCCTCCCCCATTAGTGGTATCATTTTTTACCTCATATTTCAGAACATCAAAATTCCACCTCTCCATTCTTCAGATCAGAACCTTCTTTGACACATCTGGGAGAAATTAAACCAGATGTGCCCCAAACCTGCAACCATTTTCTTGCTGAACTTCAAGGGCACGCCTGGCTACAGAGCAGCAGCACTCTTGTTTCCGGATAGAACTGTCTTTTGAGAGGTTCTGTAGCAAAGGGCAGGGATGTGGTGACCGAGTGTCCTGCTCCAGCAATTGCGTCCCCTCTCCCTGAGTGACCACTTGTAGGGAACCTGAACTGTTAGCGCCTGAGGTTTAGGGCGGCACCTAACTGTCCTGCTGACCAGAAGGTAAATGTGTGGAGGTGCTCACCCCTTATTTATTATAGTCAACTTAAAAGTAGCTCGGCAAGTGACACCTAGAAGAAAATAAGATGACAAGAAAAAAGAAAAGAAAAAGAATCAGACTCATTTTGTCACTCATAGCTTTCTGCATTTTAGTTGCGAATATAAGTAGTTTTGCTTTTGATACTGTATATATTTTTAACAGATGGTTGATATATAATATGAATAGAAGTAGTTACTGAAATTCCCCTGGAGACCTACATTCCTAGAACAGAAGGTCAAACGTGAATTCAAAAAAGATCCCTAGGAGCTTCCGTTAATTGCAGAAAAGGTCCCTAAGGAACCCAGAAGTCCCTGGCTTTCTCTTACTCTCGTTCCTAGTGCGGCGGGCCGGGAGCGCATCGGCCCCTCCCGCGTGAAGGGGAGGGGGGGCGGGCTCAGAGAATCCCCGCCCAGGGGCGGGGCCGGGAGGTGGCGAGGCTGCGGGTCCGCGGCCGAGGGGCGGGCTCAGAGAAGTCCCGCCCAGGGGCGGGGCCAAGCTCTTCTGCCCAGCCCCGCCGCGCACTGCGCGGCTGTGCTGTCGGCGGCTGGCAAACCCGCTCGGAGGCCGCCGCGCTGCCAGCAGACCTCACGGGGCTGCTCGGGGAAGCCTCGGCGGGTCTGCGTAGGCCGCCCCCCTCGGAGCTCCGCGGCTGAGGGTCGGGGCGCGCCCGCGGCTGCCTGCAGTCGGAAGGGCAGCCCGGGAACTAGGAAGGGCAGCAGTCCCGGGTGAGTCTGGGCGCGTGCCGGGCGCTCCGGTGCCGACTTCAGGTCTCCGAGCCGGGCCTTGTCCGTGGCCGGCGGCGTTCTCGGTCGCGGCAGGGGAAACGCTCGTGGGGTTTCCAGGCTTTCGCTTCCCGGTGTACTCTTGAGTAGCCCCCGGTCTAACCCCGCCGCCGGTTCCCGAGCCGCGTGAATGAATGATGCAATCCTGCACCGGGACGTCGCCGGGGCAAGGTCGGGGGTCCGGGCGCGTCCGGCCGGGCCGTCTTTCCCCGCCGAGCTGGGGTGTCCGGGGAGCACCTGCCGGACCCGCTGCTGCCAGCGACCGCCGCGAGTCAGGGGCTGAGTCCGCTTGGTCAGAGAAGCTTTACTGTGTCTTCTTCACGGGCGCCGCGCGCGGAGTTGCTCGTCCAGTGCTGGACTGACCCGTGCGGGCGTGAGGGTCCGGGGAGGAAGGGACAAAATCCAGGATTTCTGAATGGTATTACGACAGCTGCGGGTGGGTGCTCGGTGTGGTCGCGGTGCCCTCACTGTCACGTGGGTGACCTCGAGCCGTCGGGACGGTTGAGGTTTTCAGGTAACTGGATGCATGCCAATAACCTCTCTAAAGCTGATGTTTTCTTGAGGTATAATTTGGCGCAACAGTACGCACCCATTTTAAGTGTACATTTGGGTGAATTTCGAGATTATCTACACACTTATAATCGCCAACAGATATAATACTTCCTTCTCCCCTGAAGGGTTCCCAAGGCCTCTTTGCAGTCGGGTCGCCCCACCCCCGAGTCCTAATGACCTGATTTTTGTCATTATAGCGTTTGTGTTTTCTAATGTGTCCTATAAATGGAATCATGCTGTATGCAGTCTTTTGTGTTGGGCTTCTTTCAATATCACGTTTTCTGTATTTATTTTGGCGCGTGGTACTAATTCCTTCCTTTGGATCGCTGAGTACTGTTCCTGTGTGGGGATATCCCACCGTTTGTTGACCACTTATCTGCTGATGGACGTTCTGGTTTGGGGCTGTCACAAAGAGGGTTTCTCTTGGATAAACCTCTGTTTAACTTTATCAGAAACCACTAAAATGTTTTCCAGAATGGTGGTACCATTTCCTGTCCCGAGCAGTTCTGCTGTTCCCTGTCCTCACCTATACTTGGTGTGGTTGGTCTTTTTCATCTTAGTCATTCTTCTTTTCAGTTTATTTTCATATCTTCTTTTCTGGAGGGTCTATCCCAGTCTTTTGCTCATATTTTAATAAGTTGTGTTATTACTGACTTGTAAGAGTTCTTTATTCTGGATACAAGTTCTTTGTCAAATACATGTATGATAAGTATTTTCTCCTGTTCTGTAGCTTGTCTTGTCTTTTTCTTTTCTTTTTTTTTCCTATTATGGTATCTTTTGTTGTTGGTGTGTGTGCGCGTGCGTGTGTGTGTGTGTGTGTGTGTGTGTGTGTTTTAGGGAGGGGCAGAGGCAGAGGGTGAGAGAGAGAGAGTCTTAAGGAGGCTCTGTGCCCAGTGTGGAGCCTGATGTGGGGCTTGATCTCACCACCCTGAGTCATGGTTCTGAGCTGAGATCAAGAGTCAGATGCTTAACTGACTGCACCACCCACGTGCCCTATCATGATATCTTTTGAAGAGCAAGTGCAAGTTTTTAATCTTGAGGAAGTCCATTCTCTCATGCTTTCCTTTTATTGTTCATGCTTTAAGAAAGTTTTACCTACCCCAAAGCTGTTATTCTAGCTACCTATTGCTGTATAACACTTTAACCTCAAACTTAGCAGCTTTAAAACAAACATTCATTTTTTCACAGCTTCTGTGGGTTAAAAATTTGGGAGCAGCTTAGTTGGATGGTTCTGGTTTAGGGTCTTTCAAGAGGTCATGTTGGCCAAGGCCAGTTTATTTGAATGTTTTATTGGAGATCTGCTGCCTCGCTCATTCACATGGGGGGCAGGATTCAGTTCCTTGAGGGTTGTTAGATCAAGGGTCCCAGTTCCTTTCTAGCTGTTTCCAGTTCTGCCACATGGGCCTCACCATAGGGCAGCTACCAACATGGCAACTGCCTTTTTTTATAGCAGGGAGGGAGGCTGGGCCAAGATGGAAGCCACATTCCTTTTCTTTGCTTTTGAGACCAACTCAAAAATTGGATGAGCGAAAGGTTACGCAAGGTCTGTATTTTGAACCCTCTGAATTATTTATTGCCATTATGGTTCCCTCTTCAGTCTCTTTGCGTTTTCTTGCCTCATCTTCTTAACTATTTCTTTTATCTTTTTTTCTTCTGAGTTTTGGTACTTTTATATACTTCTACTTACAGTTTTAATTATGAGGATATTAATTCAATATTGTTGGCTGTGTTCCCTCGATATTGGGCAATGGAACTTTTCGTTGACTGTTCTTGGTGTGTTGGCCACTGTGTCTACTCCTTTTGAAGACAGAAGGATCTGTTTTGCAGAGTCTGGGATATACCTGAGTCAGCACTCTGTCTGCGTTTTGTTCTCTCAGTAGATCCTCTCCCCCTTCCCTCTCGTTGGCATTCTGCTAATTGGGTTAGGTGATTTCCTGTCAGACCTGAAGCTTTTGCAGAATCAAAGCCAGAGAAAATAATGTGTTTACTCCTCTGCAGTGTGGAAAGGAGGCAGAAGTCAAGCGTTTCGCAAGGGAAGCAGTCTTAGGGAACTTTGCATCTGACCCTTCTTCGTACCAGTCCTACCAGTGGGGAGAGGGAAGCTAGACAGTTTCCCTCTCTTCTCTTGTGTCTGGACCTTGATGTTCGTTTCCTCCTCTCCTTCTAGGCTCTCATCTTGCAGAACTCTCAAGATCTCTTGTAAAGAGATTTGTAGTCAGAGCTTTATGCTGCATTTTTATTCAGGAAAGAAGCAGGGAGAGAAGAGCGTTATTTCCCAGGAATCCAGCACTGGAGAAACGTGAGTCTGGTTTGTCTTTTGTTGTTGTCATTTATCATTACCAGTTTCCTCCTCACCTGAAAAAAACTGTCTGCTGTCATGTATGTGGGATCCATAAAATCTCAGGTTCTCCAGAACAGCTATACTTTTTTTGAGTCATAAAATACACTATAAATGCATTGACTGGGAACCCTAGGCCTACTTACCAGAGGCTCTTTGACTCTCCTCTGACCCAGAAGCTTCTCAGGCTGCATTTGTGCGTTGTTGCAGTGCCCGGAGGACCTGAAGCAGACTCACTGCTCCTCCGCAAGGTGACATCCATCTAAGCCTGGTAAGGTTTATTCTCTTGGATGTGCTTGATCTCCACAATCTCTGTACCAGCTTGCACTTGTTCTTACACAGGTGAAGGTAAGAGGTCGGTCCTGACAAAGAGTAAGCTGCTGAAGCGATTTTGGACGCCTCTCATGAAATACAGAGATGAAGGAGTTCAAAGAGATTCTGGGTGAAGAGGTTTTTCCCTCTTATCTAAAATCAGACCCCCTAAGCCTGGCCCTGAAGAAAAACTTGCTTTTGTACTTTTGGACCTGAGGGTAAGAAGGGGTCGTCAGCAGAGGCTTCTTCACCATTTGGCCCTCTCTTTGCCCCAGACGGACCAGCTGGGCGCCGGGCGGGTGGGAGACCTGTTCTGACCCGCGGAAGGGAGGGGCTCAGCAGTCTGGACTGGGCCTGGGAGCTGCCATGTCAAAGCACATACCCTTCCACCAGGACTTCTTCCGCCTCCTGTCCTGTCCCCCTGCCAGGGCCACATGCGAGGGGTCCAGAGTCCATTCTCTAGCAAGGAGTTTTGTGTGTGTGAAATTCTAAGGTTCACAATTTACTTGGAAGCACCTGAACTTACCAGATTTTTTCCCTCCCTTGTAGACATGAGAATTTTGACTGAATTAATGAGTGGCTCCTGGTAGAGAGCTGAGAAAAAAGGCAACAGGCAGTGAATAAGGAGGCAGGGCATTTTATGGTGTGGGCTGGGAAGGGCTAGGTGAGGCTCAGGCCGTTTGTTCTGAGTGTGAGCAGGGAGCTGAAATCTGTGTAACCCCTGGGGTGGAGGGCATATCCCCTGACATGAGCATTTTGTGGGCAAAGTTAAGGTTCTGTAATCCAGCTCTGTCTCCTAGGGAGGGTATGGAGAAGGATTCCGCTTTCCCAGTAAATTCAGTGCCACTTTTGTCTCAAACATCATATTTTCTCTGCCTTTGGTACCACCGTAGTGCACCCCAGGAGGTGTTGGCAATTCTGAGTCATAAGTCAGGACTCGTGTTCATCTGGGGATGTGGAAGTCAGCCCTCACTTTACTTAAGGAAATGTGTGTTTCCTTCCATATTTGAGGCTGATGGTGTGGTTGAAGCTATTTGTTTTGTCTGTGGTTGGGGAGAAGCTCAAGCCACTGGCTTTTCAGACATGAACAATAATGATTGGTCTGGTCATCTCAGTGAGACTGGTCGCCTCTTGGAGATGATGCCCGTTCTGTACTTCCCAGGTCTAAGGCTAGGCATAGGGGGGCAGTGTGGACTGGCTTTGGGGTTAGGAGTTTTGAGGCTTCAGGAGCCTGTCAGTCCTTCTCAGGAGTCTTGCCCATTCTTAGTTATGTTGTGCTGCCTCATGCACAGTCTTTAGCCTGTCCCATTTATTTCATTTTAGCTCTTCTTAGGTAATTTGTCTGCTCCTGGCTTTCCCTCCATTTACATATGACTCGTTTTCCATGCTCAGGGGGGTTGCATTGCACTAAGCACGGCTTTTCCGCTGACAGACAGTCTGTGCTCTTCTGTGCCGGGGTAGCTGTCTTGCCATGTGATGTGAAATGCGTTGATTCCCTCTGGGCCAGTGCCATGTGGGTGGTTACTGAGCCACAGAGAGTGGGATATGAGGCTCCTTGGTATTCCCTGGCTTGGTGGGTGTTTGACAATTTATGAAACTTGTTTCTATCCACTGGTCTCCCAAAGAATGTGCAGACTTTCTTCTTTCACTGTTAATGAATCATTACCCATCGCATTGTCCAGCTAGCAGAACTTTGGTCTGATTTTTTTTTTTTAAGATTTTAGTTATTTGAGAGAAAGAATAAGTGGGAAGAGGAATAGAAAGAGAGGGAGAGCAGAGGGGAGCCCAAAGTGGGGCTCAATCCCAGGACCCTGGCATCATGACCTGAGCCAAAGGCAAACGCTTAACCGACTGAGCCACCCAGGCACCCTGGTCTGAATTCTTCATGGCAATCTTTGACATTTCCTCAGTCCAGATAGGTTCCTATCCAATGTTTAACCTTGTTTAGTTCTGCTTAATTTATCTGCCTCTCAATTTATCCACATCTTGATTTATGCACCACCTTTTATGCTGTCTGTATGCATTTGAGATCCAAATTTTAGTTTTTTAGCCATCGCTTAGGAGCTGTGTGACCTGGGTCATTTAACTTCCTTATACCTCTGGTCATTAATCTGTGAAATGGACACATTAATATCATTCCTACAGAAAGGCATGGGGCCAGACCTAAATGATGGCTGTGAGGTTTCTTCCAACTTAAAAATTTATGATGTCAATTCTGTTTCATTCGTGATAGTCATCATTGCTGGTTAAGGATTTTAATTTTAGGCTAATAGCACTCTAAGTTGGAAAAGTTTTTTTTTTTTAAGATTTTATTTGTTTATTTGACAGAGAGAGGGAGATCACAAGTAGGCAGAGCAGCAGGCACAGAGAGAAGGGGAAGCCGGCTCCCTGCCGAGCAGAGAACCACCCCATGCGGGGCTCGATCTCAGGACCCCGAGATCATGACCTGAGCCGAAGGCAGAGGCCCAACCCACTGAGCCACCCAGGCACCCCTAAGTTGGAATAGTTTTGTTGAGAACAATAATCTCAGTTCTAAGTTCTCAATAACTTCTTAGATTCAACTCTATTTAATTTATGAAACATTTACTTTATACCTACTGGGTCCTGGAAACAAAGATGAAAGATATTTCACTCAAGGAGAGGAATGGGAGTGATTAATTAATTCTCTGAAGGAGTAGGAAGGAGATAATGTAGTATAAGGCAGGTTATTTAATTATAATCTTGAAGAATAAATAGGAATTTGCCCACAGTATGTGGGATTAGGTGATTTCAGGCAGAGGGAATAGCATTTGCAATGGCATAGAGGTTTAAAAAACCATGACATATTTAAGGAACAAGACATCTTCTGTATATCTTGAACATAAGTTGTGTGTATGTGTGTGTGTGTGTGTGTGTGTGTGTGTGTGTGTGTTGTCTTGGGGGAGAAGAGCAACAGGTGATAGGTTGGTGAAATAGGATCCAAATGATGGAGGGCATAAATTAATTGAATAACAAAGATATTATGTTAATTGATATGCTAATGATGAGGAATGGATTAGCAAGGGCATCATTAGGTCTGATATGATTAAGTTCTTTTTTTTTTTCCAAGATTTTATTTATTTATTTGACAGACAGAGATCATAAGCAGGCAAAGAGGCAGGCAGAGAGAGAGGAAGGGAAGCAGGCTCCCTGCTGAGCAGAGAGCCCTATGCAGGGCTTGATCCCAGGACCTTGGGATCATGACCTGAGCCGAAGGCAGAGACTTTAACCCACTGAGCCAACCAGGTGCTCCTATGATTAAGTTCTTAACTTGATTTGATTCTAGAATCCTCAGAAGCCAAACCTGAATCCAGGCAGGTACAGTAGTATATTTATAATTTAAACATAATGGGCATGTTAAAAAGAAAAGCCTTTACCTTTTAGAAATATATACTGAAATATCTTGGATGAAATGATATGATTTGCTTTGAAATCATGAGAAAATGTGGAAGTGTTTAGATGTGAAATTGTGATTTATGTATAATAAGAAATATATTTGATCATCTCTGGCACAAAGCTCTTCAAACTCTTGGAATTTCCTATGATGAGAGTGATAAAGGTGTTTCTTCTTGTTCCAACAGAACCAACCTTGGTGACTTAGTCCTACCACCCTCACCTCTGGAGAGCAGAGAGGGGCTAGTGATCTAGCTCAGTTACCAGTAGACAGTGATTTAATCCGTCATGCTTTGTAATGAATAAAACCCTAAAGGATCGTGTTTGGAGAGCTTTGGGGTTGGGTTCGTGAGCACATGACGATACAGGGAGAATGACATACTCAGAGAGAGTATGGAAGCTCTGTGCTTCTTCCCACATAACTTGTCCTGTCCTATACATCTCTTCCATCTGAGTTCTACCCTTTTATAATACACCAGTGATCTAGTAAATAAAACATTTCTCTGAGTTCTATGAGCCACTCTAGCAAATTAATTAAATCCAAGGGGGAGGTTGTTGGAGTCAGTTGGTCTGAAGCACGGGTGACAACCTGGACTGGGGTCTTCAGTGTGTGTGTGTGTGTGTCTGTGTGTGTGCAGGGAGGGAGGGCTCAGTCTTGTGGAACTGAACCCCTAACCTGTGGAATCTCACGCTATCTGGGTGGATAGTGTCAGAACTGAGTTGAATTATAGGGGGGGCCCATACTAGTGTCTAAGAATTGCTCAGATGTGCGGGAATCCCCCCTTGTTGGACGAGGTACAGAATGCTTTCTTGGGCCATTGATGAAGCATGATTTGCTATGATTGTTGAAGCAGGTTGATGTGTATGTGGAATTCATGTATTCATTCTCTTTTGTATGTATTTGAAATTCTCTATAATAAAAAGTTAAAAAAAGTTGTGGGTATGTAATTCACAACTATATCATTTCATTTATTCATTCAACCTTCAGAAATTATTTGAGCATCTCCTCAGAAGAGGCTCAAAATAAGTGTTTTGAAAAATTTTGGATCTTAGTATAAAGAGCTTACAGTCCAGGAATAGAGGTGACATACATATAAATAGGTTTAAGATAAGTAAGACTATTGTGAATTTTATATATTGAAAACAGGTCTACCCAAAGTACTGTGGAAGTTCTAGGGAGAAATTTTTTTCAGCCCCAGGGAATCAGGAAAGACTTTATAGTGAATATGGCATTTGAGCTTTATTCATTCACTTAATTCAACAATATTATTAAGCTGTACTATATGCTGGGTACTGTTCTCAGTCCTATGGATAGTGAACAAAGCTGATAAAGATCCTATGCTTGTGAAATTTGCATCCTAATGAGGAAAGATAGACAATACATAATAAACATAATGAGTCTATTTTATCATATGTTAGAAAATGATAGATGTTACAGAAAAAAGAAAAAGCATAGTGAGGGATATTAGTAAGGTTGGGTTAAGGATAAGGAGGGAGAGGCTGCAGTCATAAACAGGGTGGTCAAGGTTGGCTCATGGAAAAAGGTGATTCTTGGGAAAACTTGTTTTTTAAAATTTCATTTTCTTAATTGACATATGATTGACACACAGTGTTGTTTGGGCAAACTCTTGGTAAGGGATTGGTGATGTGGGTATCCAAGTAAAGAGCATTCCCACCAGAGACAGAGCTGGAGCAAAGGCCCTGAGTGGGGAGCCTGCTTAGTGCATTTCCAGAGCAGCGGCAGGACGACTGGTGTGGTTGAGCAAGTGGGAGATGAGTAGGAATTGAGGTCAGAGATGTGATGGGGAGGGCATGGTGGTGGTGGTGGTGATGGTGGTGGTGGTGGTGGTATCAGTGTAGGGGGCAGACCCTATTCGTAATTGTAAGAACTTTGGCTTCTACTCTTAATAAAATGAGCTGTTGAAGGATTTTGAGCTAGAAGTGTGACAGGATTAGGCTTTTGCTTACAATGATTACTTTGGATGTTACCTTGAGAACAAAAACCAGGGTGGGCGACCTCTTACGTGGTCTTGGTACAGTCTTGGCAAGAAACCTTGACTCAGACTAGAACGATAGCAGTGCATAGGGTGAGAAGTGGTCAGATTTTGGTTAGACTTTAAAGATTTATTTATTTATTTGACAGAGAGAGAGATTACAAGGAGGCAGAGAGGCAGGCAGAGAGGGGGAAGCAAGTTCCCTGCTGAGCAGAGAGCCGGATGCGAGAGGGGCTCCATCCTAGGACCCTGAGACCATGACCTGAGCAGAAGGCAGAGGCTTAACCCACTGAGCGACCGAGGAGCCCCTTGATTTTGGTTAGACTTTAAAGATAGAACCAACATAGTTTCCTGAATGATTGGATATGAATTTTGGACATGGGCCATCAAGGGAGAGAATGGGTTTTTATTTTTTTAAGAAAATCATTGGACTAGAATCTTGGGGGTAAACAGGATCCTAAAGGTTGCCATTTACCTTTAGGTAAATGCAAGAATGGCAGTTTGAGAAGATCAGGAGTTCAGTTTTAGGCTTGTGTTTGGGGTGTTTCCCGGACATGTGAGTCAGGTCAGGTAGGTGGTTGGAGTTGAGAGTTTGGGAGAGAGGACTGGGCTCCAGGTACACATCTGGGAGTTCCTATCCCAGAGACGACATTTCAAGCCATGAGCCCGGATGAATTCCATCGGGGAGTGCGTATGGTTGGAGAAGACCAGGGGTGGACTGTGGTCATTGCAGCATTAAGAGAATGGAAGAGAAGCAACCTGCAAAGGAGCTCAGTCTGTTTAACGGAAACTTCATTCACATTGAGGCTGATGTTAGTTTAGAGTTTAATACTCTGTTATCTTACTGGATTCACGGACTGTCTTCTCTTTCTCCCTTGTCAGTGGGTCTCCAGTGAAACTCCGATTTCCCATTAAGAGCCCTCTTTTATAAGGGTTCCAAACAGGGGTCTGCAGTTTTTCTGTCAAAGGCCAGATAGTAAATATTTCAGGCTTTGCAGGCCTTACAGTCTCTGCTGCAGCGGCCCACCTGCTGTGTTGTGCAAAAGCAGCTGTGGACACTTAAACAGGTGAACATGGCTGTGTTCTTCTGAAACTTCAATTATGGACACTGAATTTTGAAACCCATGCAATTTCTGTGTGTCGCAAAGTTTTATTCTCTTGGGTTTTTTTTTTCAATTATTTAAGACATAGATGTGCCTGGGGCTGGGGCTCAGTGGGTTAAGTGTCCTGCTCTTCATCGCAGCTCAGGTCTTGATCTCGGGGTTGTGAATTCAAGCCCTGTGTTGGGCTCCGTGCTGGTGTGGAGACTACTTGAAAAGCAATAAAAAAACCAAAACCAAAACCAAGTTGGTCTTACTTTACAGACTATACAGAAACAGGCTGATTTGTCCTACCAGCTATAGTTTGCCTCCCCCTGGTGTAAAAGCGTTAAAAATGTAAAACGTTTCTTCCCCCAGGTCAGCTTTGCCCTGGACCTTTCTGCCAGGTGCACTGCAGCTCCTTGGGGTTTGTCTTCAGCAGTATCTGTTCTAAATACAGGTTATTTGCATCATCTGTGTGGCCTCATACGGGACATATCTGATGAGAGACGGGTCTGGGGAACCTTTAGGATCCCATTTACCCCCAAGATTCTAGTCCAGTGATTTTCTTAAAAAATAAAAACCCACGACATCCCTTTCAAAACTGTCCTCTATCGCTTCTGCAGCTCTGTGGTCTCTCAGTCTCTTCCTGTGAGTCTTGACTTCTTTTTCCTTTTCCTTCCCAGGCTCCCAATCGGATCTTTTCTGCTCCTGTGAGCTCTGTCCTCAGCCCCCCTCTTTCTCTCTCTGTCTACTCTCTGGTGACTTCAGTCAGGCCATACCCTCTGTATGGCTGACTGACAAATGTGCTGTTCAGCTCTGACCTCTTTTCCATGGCAAAAAGCCTTTCAGGATTTTCCACTACCTAGATGTTAAAATCCAAACCCGTTAGCCTGGCCCAGAGCCCCCCCTTGGTGCGCTGCCTGGCAGCTGGACTCCAGTGGGCAGTTTCCAGAATGTCATCCATCATTCTTGTTCCTTGCCTTGGGCCCTGCTCTTCTCTCTGCTGTCATTATCCTCTCTTCTGGCCTCCATCTCCCTGCCCCCTACTCCCAGCACCCACCAAACTGATGCCCTGCCCTTGGAGAACCCAGTCAGGCCACTTACCCTTCAAGATTTGGGTTGAGTTTCTGTCCCCCTGGAAGCCCTGTCTCATAGGCAAGCTCAATCATCTTCTGTGTGTGCCTGTAGTATTTTTAGTATCTTATGCACATTTCCACTTCAGCACTTGCCTTTCTGCAGTCATTGTCAGGTCAAAAATAGTCAAATATTGGTTGAATGTGATATATATTTGTAAGTCGGTACCTTCACCAGACTGAGTTCCTCGGAGAAGAGTTTGGTCCTGCTCATCTTTGTATTCCAAGAGCCTGACATTTAGATGGTGCTTACTTTGTGTTAAAAACAACAACAACAACAACAACAACAACAACAACAACAACAAATGAGCCCATGAGTCCATGTTTATGTGGAATATGCTGACTTTGATACAGGTCAAAGTATATTGGCATTAGTAGGCATAATTGGATCTTTTTATGGTGATGCGTGTTTAAATATGTCTGTCTTCTTCTGTTGTAGGAGGAAGGTTCTTCCGAGGATGGTCTCCCATTCAGAGCTGAGGAAACTCTTCTGTTCCGCAGACGCAGTGTGCTTTGATGTTGACAGCACGGTCATCAGAGAAGAAGGAATTGATGAGCTAGCCAAATGCTGTGGTGTTGAGGCTGCCGTGTCAGAAATGTAGGAATAGTATTTATTCACTTTATGAAGTGATTAAGAATTGCAAGAGAGAGTGACTTTGGGTGACATGCAGGACCACGGCCGTAATTCCCCGAGTTTTAGTCCCTGACAGCAAACCCTGGGCAGTTAGCTTCTTCCGTCACTCAGAGCTGAATTCGCTAGTGAGCATCATCCAGTCACCCATTTATACAGACTCTTATGGCAGAAGAAAATAGTTGCCTCAAAATAATTATGAGTGACAGGCTCTTGCCCAGTGAGGGAAACGACGACCATAACTAACCAGAGAAGATGATGGGGGGTGGGGGCGGGGATCCACGGGGATCCCCAGTCGTCCAGTGCTTTGTGTCATGGCTGACTGTGTGGCCTTAGTGGCTTGCTAGAAAGCTAGTTTGGGTTCAGAGTCTCTTAGTCTATGTTCAGGTGAGACCCTTCCCTCCCTCCTGCCCTCCCCATTGCTGCCTGCAGTCACCAGGTCACGGACATTTCATGTTCAGCTGCATTTGATGTGAGATGTGACCACAAAATCACATCTGCTTGATGTGATTCTCAAGCAGACTGCAGTAAGTTTATTCCCATGGCCTCGCTGCCATGGCACTGTAGCATGTTGTATGGTGGGGCTCTAGGCAGCACCTTCCTCATGGGTGGACACTGGAGGAGCTAGGGAGATAAGGTGTGGACTTTGGGGACCTCTGACTTGCCTAGTCTGATTGTTGGGTCTTCCTCCCAGGACACGGCGAGCCATGGGTGGGGCAGTGCCTTTCAAGGCTGCCCTCACAGAGCGTTTAGCTCTGATCCAGCCCTCTAGGGAACAGGTGCAAAGGCTCATAGCTGAGCACCCCCCACACCTGACCCCGGGCATAAGGTAAGAAGAACCCTGGTCTGGGTACTGTCTCTCCATCAGCACCTGCATTTTGGGGCATATCCTCTTGAGAGCATCTCACTATGGCTCTAGTGCTGCCTTTTGCCTGCCTCTTTCAGCTCTTACGTGCGGTGCTGTCTGAGTGGTTGGCCCTGCTCAAGTCATCTGCCCTCCCTTTCTCCCCAGAGAGAGCCGAAGTTTCCTCCTCATTTTCTGTTTCTAGGTTCATGGGCAGATCGAGTTGTGGGATGGTTTCTTAAGCAGCCCAGCCCCACCTATTAATTTCTTTTTTTTTTTCCCCTAAACTTTATTTTTTTTTAAAGATTTTATTTATTTGACAGAGTCACAAAGAGAGAAGGAACACAAACAGGGGGAGGGGGAGAGGGAGAAGCAAGCTTCCCGCAGAGCAGGAAGCCTGATCTGGGCCTCCATCCCAGGACCCTGGGATCATGACCTGAGCTGAAGACAGACGCTTAAACTGCTGAGTCACCCAGGCCCCCCATGTATGTTTTCCTAAATGCACTTAGAAATTAATAGGTGGGGACCTGGATGGCTCAGTCATTAAGCATCTGCCTTCAGCTCAGGTCATGATCCCAGGGACCTGGGATTGAGCCCCGCATCGGGCTCCCTGCTCAGTGGGGAGTCTCTTCCTTTCCCTCTCCCTCTGTATGTGCTCTCTGTCTTTCTGTAGCTCTCACTCTCTCTCAAATAAATAAATAAAATCTTTTAAAAAATACATAAAACATTATAATTAACCAAGCAGTATACCTTGTCCATTGTATTTGGGCAAATGCTTTGTGAACAAGAAAATGTATTTTAGTTTCCTTCTCATGTTTCGTGTTTAGTAATGATTTTGGTGTTTTATATTTCTTTTTGCAGGGAGCTAGTAAGTCGCCTCCAAGAGCGAAATGTTCAGGTTTTCCTAATATCTGGTGGCTTTCGGAGCATCGTGGAGCATGTTGCTTCAAAGCTCAATATCCCGTCGACCAATGTTTTTGCCAATAGGCTGAAGTTCTACTTTAATGGTAAGAATTGAATGTTCCCTTTCTTGTCAGTTTTAGTGTTCGGTATCTTATGTAATGTCTGTTGGAATGCAACCTAAATAAGGCAGCCTCAGAGTTAAACACTGAGATGAAGGATTCTCTCCTTTTTAATTGATTTAATTTAATTTAAATTCAATTAATTAACATTTAGTATATTATTAGTTTCAGAGGTAGAGTTCAGTGATTCATCAGTTGCATAGAACACCCAGTGTAGGGGTGCCGGGTGGCTCAGTGGGTTAAGCCTCTGCCTTTGGCTCAGGTCATGGTCTCAGAATCTTGGGATCGAGCCCCGCATTGGGCTCTCTGCTCAGCAGGGAGCCTGCTTCCCCTCTGCCCCCCGCCTGCCTCTCTGCCTACTTGTGATCTCTCTCTGTCAAATAAATAAATAAAATCTTAAAAAGAAAAAGAACACCCAGTGTTCTTTTTTTTACACCCAGTGCCCTCCTTAATGCCCATCACCCAGTTGCCACATCTCCTCTGCCAAGCTCCCCTCCAGCAACCCTGTTTGTTTCCTAGAGTTAAGCGTCTCTTATATTTGTCTCCCTCTCTGACTTTGTCTTATTTTATTTTTCCCTCCCTTCCCTTAAGATCCTCTGATTTGTTTTTTAATTCTACACAGGAGTGAAATCATATGGTATTTGTCTTTCTCTGATTGACTTATTTCACTTTGCATCATACCCTCTATTTTTTTTTTTTTCCTTGAGATGAAGGATTCTCTACTGGTGTCTTTTGCTCCTTGGGATCCTTTGCTCTGTGAAATAAACTTAGGCCATCATCTCTCCCGGCTTTAGTGTCCATCTACTCTCTTGGTATATAAGTGCCTGCACTTGATTCCTCTGTACCCAGGTGACTTGTTTTGTTATGTGTTATAGTTCCGTTTTTTGAGCTCTCTTCTGTATTTGAACCAGTTTAGGCTCAGGAAAGAGGGTTTGTTGGCCGTGAGTCGCTGCTCTGTCCCGGCTCTGAAGGGCCTTCCGGTTCTTCTCTGGGCCATCACAGGGCCGCAGCTGCATCCCCGCCATTTTAGGAGGTCTCTCATGATGGCCACGGGTGGCTGACAGCCTTATAACCAAATAATGTTAATTTAAAAAAAGTAAATGTGTTGGTGGAACATTTTTGAAGGGTCTACAGGTACAGATTGTTAAAAAACGTAGACAGGGGGCTACCTGGGTGGCTCAGTGGGTTAAGCCTCTGCCTTCGGCTCAGGTCATGATCTCAGGGTCCTGGAATTGAGTCCCGCATGGGGCTCTTTGCTGGGCAGGGAGCCTGCTTCCTCCTCCCTCCCTCCCTCCCTCTCTCTCTCTCTCTCTGCTTGCCTCTCTGCCTACTTGTGATCTCTCTGTCAAATAAATAAAATCTTAAAAAAAAAAAAGAAAACGTAGACAGGGAGTGTGAGAATTACTGTAAGAAAGAAAATCGACCAGATCTGAGTTGGAATCTCCTCTTAGATGAAATTATATATTAACTTTTTAAAAACTTCGATATATTACTGTTTCGTGGTGTTCTGCCCCTTCAGCGAGGTTTGAGAACTACAGCTCTGACAGCTTAGAGGGTAAAACCCATTGACCCCAAGGTGTTGATGACCTAAACACCTCAATAAGAGGGACCTGCACTTTACAGGCAGAAGTTGTCCATGGGAGGGTGGGGAGAGGTCTGGACATCCAGGCTGTGTCACTTTACTGAGGGCCATTTTTAGCTTTCTCGGTGACATTTAAGTGAGGGTATCATCTGTGCACAAAGCTGGCTCTACCGGTATAAGTCTGTGGGTCACTGACACTGTTTTAACTGCTTTTTTAAGGTGAATATGCAGGTTTTGATGAGATGCAGCCAACTGCCGAATCTGGTGGGAAAGGAAAAGTTATTAAACTTTTAAAGGAAAAATTTCAATTTCAGAAAATAGTCATGATTGGAGATGGCGTCACAGACATGGAAGCCTGCCCTCCTGCTGTACGTACTAAGCGTGCTGGTTTTTCTGGTTGTGTTTTTCTTTTAGACGGCTGATTTGGAACTCTGTGAGATTGGTGAAAGTTAAGCAAGAATACTAGGTAGCATTGTGAAAAAACAAAACAAATAAAACAACTTCAGTCTCAGTATGTCAGCTGACATTTTGCAAACCTAAGGAAGAGAATGGTTTAGAACTTTATGACCTGGTTCCTGCCACCTCTCAGCCCAGGTGTGTGCCCGATTTTCGGCTTCACTTCCCTGAATAATACCAGAAATAGTAAGACAGCTCTTGTAGCTGTAACCAAAATTTTAATGTATATACATACATATATATGATTTTATTTTTGAGAGAGCGTGCGTGTGCAGTGAGACACGGAGAGCGCGCAGGAGCAGGGGGGAGGGGCAGAGGGAGAAGCAGGCTCCCTGCTCGGCAGGGAGCCCAATGTGGAACTTGATCCAAGGACCCTGGGATCATGGCCTGAGCTGAAGGCAGACACTTAATGGACTGAGCCTCCTAGGCGCCCCTGTGTTTTTATATTTGATAAAGTATTTCTTCATACGTTATCTTCTCGTTTTTACTAGTCAGGGGACTGAGGCTCAGGGAGGTTTGAGAATGTGCCTTTGTTAAAGCCCTTCATTCCTATGAATGAATCCTGTTTTCTGAGACTGGCCGGAAACGCATGCTGTGTAGTAAGTGTCCAGAGTATCAAATATGTCCCTTTCAGGTAGGACTTTATCCTTATCATTTCGTTCTAAATTAAGAAAAACAGAACCAAAAATAGAGTGGTGAACTTTTTAGTACCTAGTTTCCTGAGATCTAAAAATAGTTGTCTCTGTAAATGATTAACACAAAGTGGTTAAAGAACCTTTGCGGCCTTTTCACTGACTTGCATCATCTCAAGATAAGACATCTTCAGATGATTGACCCCCCACACTGGTGTTGAGTTAGTCACAGAGGCTGGGCCAGTTGAACAACGAGTGCCTGAAGGAAACCGTATGGAGTTCTGTGAGGTTGCTGATAATCCTGACGTCAAGAAATGACCAAACTGAATTGCAGAGGACCTTACCTGTCATCAGAAGATGACAGGCATGACTGAACCGAGCGCGAGTGTGTCTACGCAGACGTGTAGCCCTCAGAGGTGGTCAGAGGAGTGTGTGATCTAGAGGAAGGTTAGCTGCCCCGTGTGAAGGCCTGGCAGGATGGGGGTGGGGGGGCAGCAGAGCAGAGTGGGGACACACTAGGAGCGGACCTGGGCCTGTCAGGGGGCAAAACTTGGCAGGAATGAGCTTTCTCTTCAGCAACTGCTAAAGACTTTATGTGTCAGGCACTTGGGGGTTCCCACTAGGCCGTGGGGAGCCCTGAAAGGCTTGGGGACAGAGAAGGAAGGCGACAGTGTGTTGGGACAGCTGAGGTGTGCTGGCCTGCAGAGAGGGCTGCCAAGGAGGCAGGAAGCTCATGAGACTAAATTTAACTGGAAGGTCAGAATCTTGCTCTGTTTTCCCCTTGTGTGGTCTGAAAACAAAAATGAAGAGAAAAGGCAAGTAAAAGAATTTTCAGTGTCCAAATTAGGTACAATGTGCCTGTACCCTGGCAGAAAAAGAGAAAGTACCGCTTTAAAAGATCATTGACTATAAGAAGGTATCACCTGGTAGATACTAAGGAAACAACATAGATGTAATATTAAATTTAATGATGGAAAGTGGAGTGTTGTCCCAGATCCTGGGGTTGTCATCTCCTTCAGCCCAGAATAACACCCTCCCTGGGAGGGAGGTCCATCAGGCTCACAGAGGGCCCCTGTCAGGAGATGCCTGCTCTGGTCCCGATTTTAGGGCCAGTGGGACTTCACCTGCACCCCAGGCTTCTCTCTTATCTTCCCTCTTTGAGATTGTCTGGCCTGGCTGTGCCTGTGTCCAGTTTAGAACTCAGGGGATTTTATCTTTGTAAGAGATTGTGCTGGTGTTAAGGGGGCTTAAATTCTCCTGGAAGGCTGCAGTGGCCTGGGCCTGAGTGGATTTGCAGCAGAGGTGCTCGGACTCATTCATTCTTGGGACAGGGGAGGCAAGAAGGCACCCCTTGGAGGCTTGGCTTTACCTCTCTTTGCACAAACAGTTTGTTCTTTCAAAGAACACTTACTGCCCCAGGGTGTATTTTTTATTTTTTTTTTTTAACTCTTACCTCCTTTTTTCTCCTCTTAGGATGTTTTCATTGGATTTGGAGGAAATGTGATCAGACAACAAGTAAAAGACAACGCAGAATGGTACATCACTGATTTTGTAGAGCTTTTGGGAGAACTGGAAGAATAATATCAATTTTTATACGGTTCATAATAACTTTAGGTAAATTTTTAAGAGTTATACAGTTTGATACCATTTGCTTACAATTGCTTATTACAACCTAATGTATAGATTTGGTACTGATTATCTGTACTTCCAAGTAGACTACATAAAATTGCTCCTTTTTAACTGCAGTCCCAATATTATTATGACCATTAATTACCTGGAGAGTTTTATAATCTGAATTCTTTATGTATTTTCCTACCTATATTTTATTTGAAACCTTTTAAAGGTGGATAGTAAATGAAACACGTTCCCTATTGGAAATACGGGGTAGGCAGCTTATGTGAATGTTGGTTTTCCCTTTGGTAGGTAAATAAAAATTTGTCATGTATCAGTACAGATTGGTGGCATTGTCACTTTCTGCCTGTCGTGTATTTCAGTATCAAATATTTCAGGTACTTTAAATGTTTGAGTAGAAACAGCCTCCAGGCAAGGGACCAAGAAGTTGGGAGGCCCCACCCTGATCACAGGGCGCAGTGCTGGTAACCACGCAACCACGCAACCCCCGCCAACCCTCACACTGGGCCGGGGCGGGGAGGGGGGAGCTGGAGACGCTTCATTAGCTCTTGGAATTAGTCCTATCAGGAATGTTACAAAGGCTTTAAAAAATGGAGCCTTAAACAAAAGCAGTGACCTTAAAAGGCAGTCATTTGATAATCACATGAAGTAAAAGAACTAAAAACACATTTTACTCATCCCAAACGGGTTTCGCCTTAAATGAGTTAAATACCTCCTAATAGCCGATGTGAGCCATTCTTTCTTAAAAGAGGACTTGGAAAGACCTGGAAGCCAGGTTTGTGTTGATTCTTGCAGTGGCAGGAAAGAGGAATTTCAGAACGTGCTTTGAAAGTAAGTGGTTATATACCGTCCCTGGTAGAGAAACGGGGGAGCGTAAGGCACAGGTGAGCGAGAGGCATTAAGTGGATAATTAGGTAGAAAAGGCCAGAAGGGTTTAATACAGGAATTTATTTGAAAAATTATTTAACCAAATAATCAAATTTGGTCAAATACTCAGGTGATTGTGTAGCCAAATAACCAAATCAGATGACTCGGATTTCCTTCTGAATCCAAGTTACGGGAAGAGCGCGGTGACAGGTTTGGCGAGTTTAGACGAGACCCGCAAACAGCGAGGCGGCCGTTGGGCGTGGAGACTCGCTGGCAGCTAGCCCCGGAGCTGTGCGGCGGCTCTGGGGGGGGGGGGGTCGGGGGGGGGGGGGGGGGGCAGGGGGGGGGGGGCGGGGCGGGGTGCTGCAGAGCGCGTCTACTCGCTACCCGCGCTGCAGGAGCACTGGCCCCCGGCTGCGGGCGGGCGGGGAACCCCGAGCTCGGGCCCGGACGCTTCCGACTGCCGCACCGCCGGGGCCCGCCTTCTGCGGGGCAGGGGCCTGAGCGGGAGGGCGCCCAGGGTTTGGCGCAGAGGCGTCCGATGGGCTCAGGAACCGCGTGCCCGCGTGGAACCGCCTCTGCCCGTTGCACGAGGCCCCGGCCCCGGCCCTCAGCCGCCGCGGGGCCGCAGCAGCCCGCGCCGCGCTGTCTGCCCCGCTCCGGGGACCCCGGCCGCGCCGGGAGCTGCGCGCGGTCCTAGGAGCCCGGGAGGCGGACGGTGTTGGTTGTGACGTAGCTTCCTGCCTGTGTGACGTCACGTTTCGTGCTGATGACGCGCTCTGCTGTGTAGACAGGAAGGCGCGAATCGGGGTCATGGAATAACTGGTTTTTCGTGTATGAAATGGAAACAGTCCCTCAGGGCTTCCCCGCGCCGAGAAGTACGCGAGCGCGAGCAGCGGGCGTTTCCCTCCCACCGCCGCCCCCTCTCGGGCCCGCCGCGGGCTTCCTCCCGCTTCTCCCGGGACGGCGGTTTCTCCGCGACGCTGCGGGGCCCCCGCTGCCGCTCCCAGGCGCCGGGCCGAGCGCTCGGGACGCGGCGCAGGAGCGCGGGAGGTTCGAGAGGGCTCCGGAGACTCGCGGGGTGGCGCGAGCACCGTGGCTCCTGCTTCTGAGACCCTCCGACTCGTCAGGGTCCGCACGGGAAGCGCGGGCCGCGGCCTGACCAACGGCCCCTCCGCGGCCGGCCGGCCGCGAGCTGCTCTCCGCGGCGCTCGCGTGGCTCTCCCGGCCCGGGGCCCGCGGCGCGCACACGGCTCACCTCTTCCCGGCAAGGGCCGCGCGCGCGGGGTCCCCGCCGGCGGAGGTCACGTGCGGAGCCGGCGACTCCCCCACCGGAGGGTTCACCGGGCGCTGGGCCGGGGACGCCCTAAGCCGACGCTTGCCCTCGGAGCTCCGTCTTAAGGCGTGTCCTGCGGCGGAGGAGCTTTTACTCCCCAGGCCGGAAGCCTGTTGCGCAAAATGTGCGGGTGGTGTCCTTTCCAGTGGTCACGACCTCTGCAGAAAGTACTGCTTTCAGCACTAAATAGAGGACCATTCAGGACTTTGCTGACCAGTTTCCACCTCTGAACTTATTTGATGTATGTTTATGATTTTCCTTTTGAATGGTTTTTACTGACTTGACCTAGGCATATCATAACTTCCAAGGATTGCTAGAATTTGCCTCAAAAATAGTATGCATGAAGACACTGCCCTGCCTTCCGAGAGCCTCGTGTATTTTCCACCTGGAACCGACAGTCTCCATCCTTTCTCTTTTCCTAGCTTCCCTTTCTCCCTTTCTCCACTTACTTCCCCCTCCCTTCTTTCTCTCCATTCATCAAGCACATTATTAACATCTACTGTGTCCCAGCCAGAAAGTGAAGGTATCAATTTAGTAAATATAACGCAGAACTGAAGAAAAGGCTCTTTCACAGGCAGCCATGGGAATAAGGGGGAAAGAAGTAGGTTCTGTCAATTGTTGGTTTTAGGAGAGCAAAGTGTGGGTCCTAGAGGGCTTTTAAAAAGGAGTAGGGATGATATCACATGAATGAGAATTAAAAATGAGTGGGCTTGGGGAAGTAAGATTCGCCAGACTTACACCCAACGGATGGAAAACGAGTTTGGAAGTTTTGAATATTCCTAATGAAAATTTATAGTAGGACAAAATAATATAATTTGCTCTTTGGTGGGCATTTTATAAAAGGAGTTGGCAAATTGGGCAGGAGTTGGTAAAATGAAGTGATTATTTGGAATTAGTTTAATGAGAGGATGTTCTTAAAAGTCACCAGGTGACTGCCATACTACTTAGTGAGTGCTCCGTTTTCAGACCTCGTCTAACCCCGCCTCGAAGCGGCATTTGAGATCAGTGATCGCATCCTTGATGGACGTTGTTCACTTAGCTTTCATGACATCCCACTTCCTTCAGTTTCTTCCTGTTTCCCTGATGGTTTTTCACCCTCTTCCTGGTTCCTCCTTACCCTGGCCCTCTTCTCTGTGTACACTCACTCCCCATAAGACTTCTAGTTCAGTATGCAGAGTTCACACATGCCTGTCTCCAGGCGAGTCTGCTCTCCTGAATTGCAGAATTCACACGCGCCTACCTGATATCTCCACCTTGTACCCGCATAGACCAGCTCAAACTCTGTATGAGCCAAACAGCTCCTGATCTTCACTTCCCCAGATCTGCTGTACCATGCCACCGACAGCCTTCCCCGTCCCTAGTTGTGGAGGCCAAGACTTCATTCACTTGATTTTTTCTTTCATTCATACTTTCATTCAAATCATCTTGGCTCAGCCATCAAGACATATTCAGAATTTCACCATTCTGCCTACTTCTACTGCTACCCTACTAGTCCAAGCCACCATTTAAAATGTAAGTCAGATCTGTCCTTCCTCTGCTCAGTACCTTCCAGTGGATCTCTTCTCAAAGTAAAAGTCAAGGTCCTTCCAGTGGCTCTCAACACTCTACTGATCCAACCCCATGACCTCTGCCTTCTTCCATCAAGTCCTCCCTCTCTCCTGTTTCAGCCAGTGGTCTCCACCCCTCTGGTGCATGCAGGAATGACCCTGACTCAGGGCCTCTGCTGTAGCCATTCCCCCAGCATGGTGGGATTCCCTTCTAAACACTTGCCAACACTGTCACCTCCTTCAAGTTTTTGCATAGATCTCTTCCGTGAGGCCAACTCTGACAATGCTGGGTACTGCCTCTCCCAGCCCACCCTTAGATTCCTGATCTCCATTACCCTGTTCTACCTCGCCCCACTACAGCATGTATCAACTTCTCCCATATCATGTAACTTACAGTAATTTTTTCCAGTAACATATAATGTATTATTTGCTCCAGGGGTACAGGTCCATGATTTGTCAGCTTTCACCATAGCACATACCCTCCCCCATGTCCATCCCCCAGCCACCCTATCCCTCCCACCCCCTCCCCTCTGGCAACCCTCAGTTTGTTTCCTGAGATTAAGAGTCTCTTATGGTTTCTCTCCCTCTCTGGCTTCATCTTGTTTGTCATATGATCTCACGGATACGAGGTATTTGAGAAACAAGACAGGATCACAGGGGAAGGGAGGGAAAGATAACTTGCAGTATCTTATATTTTAATTGCCGGTCTCTTCTCACTGCACTGTAAGCTTCACAATGGTAGGGATTATGTTTTGTTCATGATGTTATTCCCTGGTCTGATGCTTGGCACATAACAGAAACCCGGTATTTGTTGAATGACGACTAAAGCCTAGCGTGAGGCAGGCTGCTTTGGGAAACCCTAGGACTTAATTAGGACAGAAATTCCTCTTCCTAGCGTAGGGTAGATTCTGAAAGAGCTCCATTTTACATTCGGTTCATTCCTCCATGCTTTCTGGACAGAAAGCTCCTTTAAGAAAGCAAAACTAAAGGAGAAAATCAAAGTTTCTAAAAGAAAACATCATTCTTGCATATTCTGTTTGGCATCTGGGCATCACGGTGCTCAGCAGACTGAATGGCCTGTGGATGGGGAGTTGGGTGATGACGCAATTTAGGGAGCCTCATCCAGCTCGTCCACCAACTGAGCTCAGTTGTGGTAGCTAATTTTATAGGTCAACTCGACTGCCCGAGGGATGTCCAGGTAGCTGCTAAAACATCTCTGGGTGTGCCTGCCTGTGTGGGGTGTTCCTGGAAGGTCAGCATTTGATTCTTCAGGATGAGTAAACAGCCATCCTCTTCAATGTAGGGGGGCATCATCTGATCCTTTGGCGGCCCAAACGGAACAAGGCAAAGGAAGGGCAAAGGTATGCTCTGCTGGAGCTGGGAGGTTCATCTTCTGCTCTCAGAAGGTCTCTCTGGAGATCTTGGTTCTTGGGCCTCCGAGCTTGGACTGGGAGTTAAGCCATCAGCTCTCCTGATTCTCAGGCCTTTGTACTTGGGACAGAATTATACCATTGGTTTTCTTGGTTCTCTAACTGGCAGATGGCAGGTTCTGGGACTTCCTGACCTCCA